CCATGTACTATTGAATTTGAATAAGCCCAGGTGCGTGTTACCACTTGTGACTGAGGGATCTCACGGCTGTCAGTCCACTTCAGGCACCTACTTTGGCCCATTCTGAGACTGTCTCAAAAGGAATCAACCCTGTAAGTTCAGCCGTGTCAATTCTAATTGATTTCGTAATCCATGTACTATTGAAATTTGAATAAGACCAGGTGTGTGTTACTGCTCGTGCCCAAGGGATCTCAGGGCTGTCAGAACTGATTTAAGGGCTTTTCACAGGCATTCTGAGACTGTCTCAAAAGGAATCAACCCTGTACGTTCAGCCGTGTTGATTCTCTTTGATTTCGTAATCCATGTACTATTGAAATTTGAATAAGCGCAGGTACGTGTTACCACTCGTGACTGAGGGATCTCAGGGCTGTCAGAACTGTTCTCAGGGCTTTTCAGAGGCATTCTGAGACTGTCTGAAAAGGAATCAACCCTGTACCTTCAGCCGTGTCGATTCTAATTGATTTCGTAATCCATGTACTATTGAAATTTGAATAAGCCCAGGTGCGTGTTACCACTTGTGACTGAGGGATCTCACGGCTGTCAGTCCACTTCAGGCACCTACTTTGGCCCATTCTGAGACTGTCTCAAAAGGAATCAACCCTGTAAGTTCAGCCGTGTCAATTCTAATTGATTTCGTAATCCATGTACTATTGAAATTTGAATAAGCCCAGGTGCGTGTTACCACTTGTGACTGAGGGATCTCAGGGCTGTCAGTCCACTTCAGGCACCTACTTTGGCCCATTCTGAGACTGTCTCAAAAGGAATCAACCCTGTAAGTTCAGCCGTGTCAATTCTAATTGATTTCGTAATCCATGTACTATTGAAATTTGAATAAGCGCAGGTACGTGTTACCACTCGTGACTGAGGGATCTCAGGGCTGTCAGAACTGTTCTCAGGGCTTTTCAGAGGCATTCTGAGACTGTCTGAAAAGGAATCAACCCTGTACCTTCAGCCGTGTCGATTCTAATTGATTTCGTAATCCATGTACTATTGAAATTTGAATAAGCCCAGGTGCGTGTTACCACTTGTGACTGAGGGATCTCAGGGCTGTCAGTCGACGTCAGGCACCTACTTTGGCCCATTCTGAGACTGTCTCAAAAGGAATCAACCCTGTAAGTTCAGCCGTGTCAATTCTAATTGATTTCGTAATCCATGTACTATTGAAATTTGAATAAGACCAGGTGTGTGTTACTGCTCGTGCCCAAGGGATCTCAGGGCTGTCAGTCCACTTCAGGCACCTACTTTGGCCCATTCTGAGACTGTCTCAAAAGGAATGAACCCTGCACATTCAGCCGTGTCAATCCTAATTGATTTCGTAATCCATGTACTATTGAAATTTGAATAAGCGCAGGTACGTGTTACCACTCCTGACTGAGGGATCTCAGGGCTGTCACTCCACTTCAGGTACCTACTTTGGCCCATTCTCAGACTGTCTCAAAAGGAATCAACCCTGTACGTTCAGCCGTGTCGATTCTAATTGATTTCGTAATCCATGCACTATTGAAATTTGAATAAGCGCAGGTACGTGTTACCACTCGTGACTGAGGGAACTCAGAGCTGTTAGTCCACTTCAGGCACCTACTTTGGCCCATTCTGAGACTGTCTCAAAAGGAATCAACCCTGTACGTTCAGCCGTGTCGATTCTAATTGATTTCGTAATCCATGTACTAATGAAATTTGAATAAGACCAGGTGTGTGTTACTGCTCGTGCCCAAGGGATCTCAGGGCTGTCAGAACTGATTTAAGGGCTTTTCACAGGCATTCTGAGACTGTCTCAAAAGGAATGAACCCTGTACGTTCAGCCGTGTCGATTCTAATTGATTTCGTAATCCATGTACTATTGAAATTTGAATAAGACCAGGTGTGTGTTACTGCTCGTGACTGAGGGAACTCAGGGCTGTCAGAACTGATTTAAGGGCTTTTCAGAGGCATTCTGAGACTGTCTCAAAAGGAATGAACCCTGTACGTTCAGCCGTGTCGATTCTAATTGATTTCGTAATCCATGCACTATTGAAAATTGAATAAGCGCAGGTACGTGTTACCACTCGTGACTGAGGGATCTCAGGGCTGTCAGAACTGATTTAAGGGCTTTTCAGGGGCATTCTGAGACTGTCTCAAAAGGAATCAACCCTGTACGTTAAGCCGTGCCGGTTCTAATTGATTTCGTAATCCATGTACTATTGAAATTTGAATAAGACCAGGTGTGTGTTACTGCTCGTGACTGAGGGAACTCAGGGCTGTCAGTCCACTTCAGGCACCTACTTTGGCCCAATCTGCGACTGTCTCAAAAGGAATCAACCCAGTACGTTCAGCCGTGTCGATTCTAATTGATTTCGTAATCCATGTACTAATGAAATTTGAATAAGCGCAGGTACGTGTTACCACTCGTGACTGAGGGATCTCAGGGCTGTCAGAACTGATTTAAGGCTTTTCAAAGGCATTCTGAGACTGTCTCAAAAGGAATGAACCCTGTACGTTCAGCCGTGTCGATTCTAATTGATTTCGTAATCCATGTACTATTGAAATTTGAATAAGCGCAGGTACGTGTTACCACTCGTGACTGAGGGAACTCAGAGCTGTCAGTCCACTTCAGCACCGACTTTGGCCCATTCTGAGACTGTCTCAAAAGGAATGAACCCTGTACGTTCAGCCGTGTCGATCTAATGGATTCGTAATCCATGTACTATGAAATTTGAATAAGCGCAGGTACGTGTTACCACTCGTGACTGAGGGATCTCAGGGCTGTCAGAACTGATTTAAGGGCTTTTCAAAGGCATTCTGAGACTGTCTCAAAAGGAATGAACCCTGTACGTTCAGCCGTGTCGATTCTAATTGATTTCGTAATCCATGCACTATTGAAATTTGAATAAGCGCAGGTACGTGTTACCACTCGTAACTGAGGGATCTCAGGGCTGTCAGTCCACTTCAGGCACCTACTTTGGCCCATTCTGAGACTGTCTCAAAAGGAATCAACCCTGTACGTTCAGCCGTGTCGATTCTAATTGATTTCGTAATCCATGTACTATTGAAATTTGAATAAGACCAGGTGTGTGTTACTGCTCGTGCCCAAGGGATCTCAGGGCTGTCAGAACTGATTTAAGGGCTTTTCACAGGCATTCTGAGACTGTCTCAAAAGGAATCAACCCTGTACGTTCAGCCGTGTTGATTCTCTTTGATTTCGTAATCCATGTACTATTGAAATTTGAATAAGCGCAGGTACGTGTTACCACTCGTGACTGAGGGAACTCAGGGCTGTCAGTCCACTTCAGGCACCTACTTTGGCCCAATCTGCGACTGTCTCAAAAGGAATCAACCCTGTACGTTCAGCCGTGTCGATTCTAATTGATTTCATAATCCATGCACTATTGAAAATTGAATAAGACCAGGTGTGTGTTACTGCTCGTGCCCAAGGGATCTCAGGGCTGTCAGAACTGATTTAAGGGCTTTTCACAGGCATTCTGAGACTGTCTCAAAAGGAATTAACCCTGTACGTTCAGCCGTGTCGATTCTAATTGATTTCGTAATCCATGCACTATTGAAATTTGAATAAGCGCAGGTACGTGTTACCACTCGTGACTGAGGGAACTCAGAGCTGTTAGTCCACTTCAGGCACCTACTTTGGCCCATTCTGAGACTGTCTCAAAAGGAATCAACCCTGTACGTTCAGCCGTGTCGATTCTAATTGATTTCGTAATCCATGTACTAATGAAATTTGAATAAGCGCAGGTACGTGTTACCACTCGTGACTGAGGGATCTCAGGGCTGTCAGAACTGATTTAAGGGCTTTTCAAAGGCATTCTGAGACTGTCTCAAAAGGAATGAACCCTGTACGTTCAGCCGTGTCGATTCTAATTGATTTCGTAATCCATGTACTAATGAAATTTGAATAAGCGCAGGTACGTGTTACCACTCGTGACTGAGGGAACTCAGGGCTGTAAGTCCACTTCAGGCACCGACTTTGGCCCATTCTGAGACTGTCTCAAAAGGAATCAACCCTGTACGTTCAGCCGTGTCAATTCTAATTGATTTCGTAATCCATGTACTATTGAAATTTGAATAAGACCAGGTGTGTGTTACTGCTCGTGCCCAAGGGATCTCAGGGCTGTCAGAACTGATTTAAGGGCTTTTCACAGGCATTCTGAGACTGTCTCAAAAGGAATGAACCCTGTACGTTCAGCCGTGTCGATTCTAATTGATTTCGTAATCCATGTACTATTGAAATTTGAATAAGCGCAGGTACGTGTTACCACTCGTGACTGAGGGAACTCAGAGCTGTAAGTCCACTTCAGGCACCGACTTTGGCCCATTCTGAGACTGTCTCAAAAGGAATGAACCCTGTACGTTCAGCCGTGTCGATTCTAATTGATTTCGGAATCCATGTACTAATGAAATTTGAATAAGCGCAGGTACGTGTTACCACTCGTGACTGAGGGATCTCAGGGCTGTCAGAACTGATTTAAGGGCTTTTTCACAGGCATTCTGAGACTGTCTCAAAAGGAATGAACCCTGTACGTTCAGCCGTGTCGATTCTAATTGATTTCGTAATCCATGTACTATTGAAATTGAATAAGCGCAGGTACGTGTTACCACTCGTGACTGAGGGAACTCAGAGCTGTAAGTCCACTTCAGGCACCGACTTTGGCCCATTCTGAGACTGTCTCAAAAGGAATCAACCCTGTACGTTCAGCCGTGTCGATTCTAATTGATTTCGTAATCCATGTACTAATGAAATTTGAATAAGCGCAGGTACGTGTTACCACTCGTGACTGAGGGATCTCAGGGCTGTCAGAACTGATTTAAGGGCTTTTCAAAGGCATTCTGAGACTGTCTCAAAAGGAATGAACCCTGTACGTTCAGCCGTGTCGATTCTAATTGATTTCGTAATCCATGCACTATTGAAATTTGAATAAGCGCAGGTACGTGTTACCACTCGTGACTGAGGGATCTCAGAGCTGTAAGTCCACTTCAGGCACCTACTTTGGCCCATTCTGAGACTGTCTCAAAAGGAATCAACCCTGTACGTTCAGCCGTGTCGATTCTAATTGATTTCGTAATCCATGTACTAATGAAATTTGAATAAGACCAGGTGTGTGTTACTGCTCGTGCCCAAGGGATCTCAGGGCTGTCAGAACTGATTTAAGGGCTTTTCACAGGCATTCTGAGACTGTCTCAAAAGGAATGAACCCTGTACGTTCAGCCGTGTCGATTCTAATTGATTTCGTAATCCATGTACTATTGAAATTTGAATAAGACCAGGTGTGTGTTACTGCTCGTGACTGAGGGAACTCAGGGCTGTCAGTCCACTTCAGGCACCTACT